CGAGTAGCACTAGCAACGTGAAATGTCTACCAAGCTTTCTGAGTTCCATTCCATTTTACCTCCCGTTTGCTTCTGTTCGACGAAGCATGAAAGTCCGGGCAACTTCTGGGAGAAGCCCACTGAGTCTCATCGGTGTAAAATTTGACTGCGAACCGACCTGGTTACTCTAGAGACCTTGATATCAAGGGAACAGATTCACTAGTTTGCTCGCTCTAGTGATCACGTTTCACTTACACTCCATCAACCAATTGTTCTGGACTAATTTTTATTCTGGACTTTCAAGTCACTTTGACATGGAATATTCTCAAGGAGAATCAACTTGCTCTGATTTCGCCTGACATTTCTAACGTTAAGGGTTAAGTCATGAACATCAGTCAGCCAAGTCTAACTTGTTCAGCAGAACTACAAGACATGGAATCCTTAATTAATAGAAAGGAAACTTCCATTCAAAGTTACACTGTTACATATAACAATGCAATGGTATTTAAACAATTCCTCCTTTTTTTTATTTTGTTGAATGATATTTTCAGTTTTAAAACTAGAAGTTTCTGAATAACAAGGTAATCTGTGGTTGGATCAAATATTGGTGCATGTTAAGGCACTGGAATATTCACAATTATCCAGGATACTATTTTTTTTAGTAAAAAAAATTTTTAGTAAAACAATTTGTCAGTGAATATATCACACAAAGATAAAAAGAACAGAGGAATATTTTTTGCAACATCAGAATTGTTACTTTATGAAATAAATGAAAAAAAACTTTCACTTTGAATTTTTTTTCAGCCTTTGACTTTTTTAAAAATTTTATACAATCATCCAGATTATAATTATAGTTAATGTACTTGAAAAACATCTTTTTTTTTTTTTTTAATATTATTGTTTTTATATTTTTTTTTCAGTATCTTATAGTGCTGGTTACCTTTATATTCTTAGTAAGTAAGGAGAAGAAAAAGAAGGATTTTGTTTAGAACAAAAAATGAATATCTTTTGGTAAAAGGAGAATTGAATACAACAACCATAACATCAAAGATTTGTTTGAAAAAATGTGAAAGGCAGAACAAATAATATATTTCTTTCATGTTTATTTTTTAATTAGCTACAAGGCCTGAAGGCTACTATACATTAGTCTTTCATATTTTTGAAAGCACCTTTGACTGGAAATAATAACAAGGAAATAGTGACAAGTTACATTTCCAAAGTACAACCTCACAAACGTCAAATGCTCCAGGGAAAAATAGCTATATGTAGAGGGTCTGCAACTTTACCAATAGAAGTGAACGTGTTACCATGGTATACACACGAAGTCTCGGAGAAAATGTTGGTAACATAACTTTACAGACCATTTTATCATCTCACAAATATTTAATTAAACTGTTTAAAGTAAGATCGTAAGATAAGAAGTAACATAAACTACCTAAAATAAAACTTGGCAAAAAAGCTCATTAATTATTTATTAACTAAATATGTTACTTAACTATAAATCAAAAACATTAAAAAAATATAAAATTCTTCAAGTAACATTTTTATGAGTAAACTAGATTATTTTTTATTTTTTAGAGCCATTTTTTAGCGATGTGGACCAATAAATTTATCATTATACTGAGTATATGCATTAAAACAAAAGAGGTATGTGTTAATTTCCATGAAAATGAGTGAAAAAAAATAAAAGAATGTGAATTAACCGAGTTTAATTACATATAGTGCGTTAAATTTCACAAGAAAATGAGGGCAGTGAGTTTAATTTCAATTTATGTTGCATTACAAATTGTCACCCATGCATCTAATATGAGTGAAGAAATGGGACACAAGTGGGATGCTAATGATGAACCAGAAATAGGTTCAGTACCAATGGTAGATATAATTATGGATCCAAATATAAACATGAATAGCTCTGCGGATCGTAAAGATACTGAAGAACCAATCGATCCAAGCTGGGATATTAAACTTGCCGTAAGGGATGTTGGATATTATTTAAGAGCTTATAAATTCTCAGACTTCGATCGCCGTTATTATCACAGTATTGATGATGCTCCAAGTCGATTATATGAAGAATTCCCTAAACCACCTTTGAGATCTCTACATTGGGAAGTAGATAAAAATTGTGATATTAGTTTTCTCCAGTGTCTCAAGTATCTCGAACGCATCATCAAAGAGACAACATTGCATCGTGAAGATGATACTGTCTATGTAATAAAAGAAAATAATTGGACTCTAGTGGATAATAGTGCACAAATTGAACTCGTCCAAAACGAATGTCAGGAAGCGAAGAATCGAGAAAATCAAACCTTTGCACCCTTTGAAGGACCCTTCGGTTAATTTTAGCTTTTATTCAACAGTAGTCAATAAAGAAGGATTTAATTCCTCTACTATAATTTGGAAAAAGTTTTTTTTTGTTTATTTAAAATGTTTTAAAGTAATTTTTAATAATTTTAATTAATTTTCACGCAGTTCAAAAATTTTATATCTATATTGCTATTAATATGATAGAAAAAAGTATTTTTTCATTAAGTTAATAATTTTGAAAGGCTTTGATTAATAATGATAACGAATCAAATTTTCATTTTAATAAATAGAACAAATTATTCAGTTTATGTTGATATGAAAACAAACAAATAATATTTTATATTCTTATTTAATTTAATTTATATCAATGATAGAAATATTTTTATAAATTATTCAACTAAAAAAAATATTGTCTAGATCATAACAGAATGTTGTTTACCTTTTGTTGTTTTTACAAAGTAGATTAAACAGTTTTTTATAAAATTTATTTCAGTTGCTAAGCTAAACAGATAATGCTAAAAGTGATTCTTGAATGTTTAAGTAATTCTATGAACATTATTAAATTTCTTCATGATAATCCTGTCAAGTTAAAAAGCATCAATTATTCAAGTATCGAAGCTAGAATATAATAATTCAATAAAGATCTTTTATCTAATAATAGATTTAGGGTCTGTAATATATGAATGCAAGTAAGATATTGTGATCTTTATTCATAACTCGCCATCGTTAATTTAGATGCACTAAATATGTATAGCGCAGTCTGGCGTAGAATTGCCTTTTGCACTACTGTATCACAGTAATGTTTGACTTTACACTACTGAATATTACCGACACATGATGTATGTAACAATTTCACCCATTCCAGATAGATTCAAGTGGTGCACAACTGCTAGTTATTACATGTGCTGGTTTACGATGTTATCCAAAGCGGAATTGATGTTTTTTGAAGAAGACTGCGACAATTTTGCCAATTGTTTAGATGAATATGGTGTAAGTAATAAAGATCCCAGAGCTGATGACAATACACCTTTCGCTTGTGCTACATACAGCTTTTGTCCTGATCCTTGTTGTTCAATGAAACACATTTCAAACATGACAGATTGTACAAAAAGTCCAAAAAATCCATGTATTCATGGAGAAGAAGGTCAATAATTTTTTTAGCTTTTGTTATTCAGACAATGTTTGTAGATAAATTCCAATAATTTAATCTTTGGATTACAGGACATCAAACTTGTGATTTTAAGTTTCGTGAAAACAGAGATTTTCATGCTTTGATAAGTAATCAATTAAATGTGACTTGTCATTGCAAGGATGAAGGATATGAGTGGTCTTCCAGATTTGGGTTATGTGTTGACATAGATGAATGCTCGAAAGGTCTTCATAATTGCTCACTGGATACTGGTCAGACTTGCATCAATCTTCCTGGAAGTTTTGACTGCATGTGTCAAATGGGTTTAATATATGACCAGAAAACAGAAAATTGCTATATGAGTCCAATATTTAAAGAGGTCTTCTTTGAATATACTGCTGTGGTGACTGATACTACGGAAAATATTCTCGATGCTATTGTTCATGCTTTGACCAGGTCATCAGTCAATGTAAGTTATCCTTCCATAGAGTGTTTTTTCATCATCTCTGTTCTATGTTCACTTTTTTGATTAACTCAATCATACTTTTGAGTTCAAATAATTAATCTGTCTAACTAAGAAACATAGGAAATAATTAAGTTTCATCAATTAATTAATGTAAAAAAATTTAATACAATTGTTAAATGACTTATTGATTAATTTATGATTTGAATATGTATTGTTAATGTTTCTGATACTGTTTAAATATAATGAAATTGAAATAATGTTACTTGAAACATGACCTGAGGCTAAAAAATTATCACAATTCTTCATCAACAAATGCAATATTTCACATTCAGAATATGAATTAATTGAGAATGGTTGTAAAATAAAATTCAAAAATAGGACGAATGGAAAATAACTGATTGAATTAATGTGTTGTAATGTGGGCTAAAATATGTATACATATATATGGAGAATTTGTACGATCATTTCATCACTTCTGTTGGGCTTTTTCCGTTGACCAGTTACATGAACTATGTGCCAACCATCCAAGGGAAAGTAGTATGTATTTTGTTCTCTTATCTACTAAACATTCTGTCGATCCTTTTTTGCTATTATAACTATATAATTTTGCGTCAAAAATATGTGTATACATGGTTATTGATTAAAAAATTCAATCTTACGAATACTGAACTGAAATACAATCGTTAATTTTATTAGTAAATATATTTTGTGAATATAATCAAATTTATCATCACTGTTTGAATGACTGTCTATATAGCAATGATTATTAAATCAAGAGATAAAATATCCGGATTAAATGGAATGTGATAGATGTAAATAACTGTAAATGGATCGCTTTTGGATTTTAAATGTAAATAATTAAATTATGAAAATTTCTGACTACTATCATCAACAAATATCAAATTACTTGATATTTGAAATTTCTTTCAATTCTGTTGAAAAGTATAAAAAAATGGAAAATGGGTGAGAAAGAATCCGTACTTGTGATCAGTAATGTTAATTGGTATAACACCGTGATGAAATGAAAACAGTGTAATTGAAAAAAGTAGTATGACAGTAGCAATCTTGAATCCCCCACAACATGTAAAAACAGGATAACTACTACTTGGATTCGATCTTGAAATTGTTTAGTCACCAACCATGTCTCTCACGGAGTGGTACCAGAGTCGTGAAGTTCTGTTAACGGGAGTTACCAGCGAACTCGGTCAAGCCCTTTTAGAAAAACTGTTACGAACATTTCCGAGTGTTACAGTTTATACTATTGTACGATCAAGAAACTCCCTTTTGAGAGGAGATCGTATTAAAAAAATATTTTCATCAGCTGGGTATGGTTAATTATTTAAAAACATTTCGTATCAAGTTTTCATAATTTCTGTTCATTTAATGAATCATTTTACTAATATAAAAAATGTTTGATTAAATTATCAAATAATAATAATGAGTTTTAATAATATATCAGGTAGAGATTATTAATATTTTAAATAATTATTGTTTTGCTATATTTATTATTATTATTATTATTATTATTATTATTATTATTATTATTATTATTATTATTATTAGTATTATTATCATTATCAATAATAATTAAATTTTGTTCACTGTAGTTTACTAAAATTAAATTATAAAAATACTTTAATTATTAAAAATGGAAAATATTCCAAAAACGTAAGATATAATATTCAAAAATATTTTAAAAAATTAAAAAAACTGGTTGAGCAACCATTCAGATAATCTTTACTATGTACACTATTTATATGATGTTTATAAATAATAGATTTTCAAGACTACGCAATGAGCAACCTAATGCAATTTCACGGGTGAAAGTCTTTGAGGGCAACTTATTATACAATGGCCTAGGATTAAATGCGGATGATTTGAAAAGTTTAAGAGAAGTGAAGATAGTTTTCCATGCGGCAGGACCCTACAATAATGTCCTTAACTTTGGTCGAGATGAGCTACCACAACTTGAAGTTATTGCTCTGGCTTCAAATATGTTCAAGAATAAAACAATATTTGATGATAAACATCCTGATATCAAAAAGTTTGAAGACATTCCATTAACAGTAATCCAACACTCTGCATTGAGTCCAGCATACTTGGAGCCAGTTCCAGGCTTAGCTGAAACTTTGAATGGTCCTACTGCTTTGATGATTGGCGCTGGTTATACTCTTGGAAAGAAAGACCTACAGGCTGAAGTCATTCCGATTGATTCAACAGTTAATGGACTGATCACTGCTGCTTGGGAAAGGGGAACTCGGTAAGTGAAAGTATAAAACTATTAAAATGTCGTAGGTAGGAAAGAAGTTGCAAAAATGTGCAATGCATTGAGAGAAACGATTACCGGTCAAAACTTTTTTTTGCTACATCAGTGATTATAGGCAAGAAAGTACGAAATGTGTTAGCAATAGCAACTAAACAACGATGTTGAAACCAACATGAGTTTCGAAAGTTACTTTTTAGGTTTATTAATTATCATTAACCATCCATGACAGAGTTAATGCTATTAATCATTATGATTTGCTTGGTCTTGATCGGTCAAAAAGTATTCATCACTAAAGATTCATTAAGGTGAACGTTGAATGTGTAAAGTGAAATTGCTAGGAGTTTCTAATGCTTATAGTTGTGGAGCTAATTTCAACGAACTTGAAATATTTCAATATAAATAACCTCGTTTGAAAGTCATAGAAGTGAAAATTGTTGATTTATTAGTTTTGTCAATATTATTTCATTTAAAACGAAAAATTTAATTTTAATGATGAAACCGTGCTAAGCTGTGCGATTAATGACAAATATAATCAGAGTTGGTAATGTTATCCTACATACAAAAATTATTTTTCCATCTCTTTTAACATTCGGTCAATGTTTAATTTATTACTCAATAATATTTCAATGAATTAATAAAAACATTGTGTTAAAAATTTATATTTACATTACAAAATAATTTTGTTTTATCATCATAAAGATAGAAAACTGTAACTAATTATCCTATTTCGCTGAGTAAATAAAAAAAACTAGATTTTTGTCCTTATTTCTAACTTCCCGAATAATTTACAGATATAAAAACTCTTGAACCGTACCAACGAGATAATCTGATAGAAATACATATCATGCATATACGAAATATCGGATAACAAAATTTTTTGTGAACAAAATATTCATTAAAGTAGAGACATTTATCTGAATATGGAGAGATATTATGTTGCATGAGAAACAGTAGAGAAAACAAGGATTTCGCAAGCTGTGAAATGATCTTATGGCACATTGATGAAAATTAATTACACATCATTTATGTGTACGAATGTATCCAATTAGTGAAGTTAATATAGTTTCACGAAAATTAATAATAAGAGTTGACAAATCAAACAGATGGTAGAGTCAAATTAGTTGATAATGAATGTTATTAGATGATTACGTGATCAATAGAGAGAAGAAAAAAAAACAAACCTGAAAATAGTTTTTCTATTTCAAAGTCTCTAGAGCTATACTGGGATACGTCTTCCATTTAAGTCTTTGGAGCTCTATTTTATTGGACTGCCTTTGAAAGCCTTCGGTCTTAACCTCCGTCTCTAGGGACCACCCTCAGCACTATTTCCGTTTGACCGACTCGCGAATAAACTGATTGCATCGACTCGTCTGAAAAAAATAACATTTCATTACATTTTTTGTTCCTTTTTCTTAGCATGCCTCGTCTGTTATTATATTATTCTCTCGACTAATGAAGCGGGTAATGAAATTTAAACTTTTTTAGATAAATTTTACGACAGATGGTCGACCGTTTGTGATACTATAAATCTCCTTTGCTCATTTTTTTTTAATAGAAAAGATGGAAATGTCTTGATATACAATGTGCCAAATCTTGGATGTACTTGGGCTGAACTGCTGAAAAAAAGTCAAACAGCGAGGAAAAAATTTCCTTATCCAGCATTTGGCATTTCTGGAATGACGTCAATTGTTTTGCTTCATTGGATTGTTATTTTCTTTTTCGAGTGGTTGCCATCGGCAATTTGTGATAGTGTTCTTTCGGCAGTTGGAGCAAAACCAAGGTAAAAACAATATAAACCTAAGATCGTTTTCTTTAGTATATATCACAGCAATGTAAATAGTATTAAATACTAATATTGCGTAAATGTAATAACGTAATTAGATTTAATGACATACTTCTATAAATATATCATTACAAATTTCAATCAACAGACATAAACAACTTTAATTATGTCGCTTTTGTGCAACTTACTGAAACTTTGTTGCAGTTTTTGTCGATTCACTTCAAATATACAAAAACTTGTTAAACATGCGAGTTGGATTTCCTGTAATATAAATACTACGTGGGTTATAGCGTAATGAGTCTAGTACTATGTTGGCTTAATTTTTAGAATTCTAACTAAATTTCCGCATGTTTCTGAAAATAACGAGGGCTACTTCATCATTAGAATACTTTTAGTCTTATATTACCGTAAATAACTCTTGTAAAAAAAAGCATTCCTACATGTATTATAATCATCACTACCTATGATAAGATTAATTTAAAAAGCAAATAAAAAATATTTGAAATTGAAAATTAATGTAAATTTTATATAGTTAACAGTAAGACATTAATAATAATTATGTCAGACTTAATTGAAATGAATCTAAGGCAACCAATGAATAATGTACTGCAGCTGGTAGTTTTGATTCTGTTGATTTATATTTACTTGATCTAGATCCTTTAATATATAATTTATTAAGTTGTTATTAATTAATTTTTTTTTTGTTGTGATAGATTTGGCATTGAACATAGGAAAGTACGTGATGCATTAAAGTCTATGGAATCAGTATGTTCCAAGTCAGTGACTATCGATAGAACTGGTGTTGATAATCTAGAGAAAAGACTTTCACAAGAGGATCGGGAAAAATTTCCGGTGTGTTTTAATATCGATTTGGAATTTTATGCAGTCTGTGTGGCTGCATCGGCACAAAAACATTGTCCTAACAAAGAAAATATTTTCTGGGTAAAGAACTTGAAGAGAATTTTTGTTGCTTTAATATCTGTGGTTTTTTTATATAATGTTCTTGGTAAGTAAGTGCTCTCTACTTTTGGCGTACCTAGAGCAAAAGATTATAATTAATTGTATACGACATGAAATAATATATTTACTACTGATAAAGAGATGTGTAACAAGATAAAAACTGTAATAAACCGAATGATTTTTAACCAAGCTCTTTTTTCCATTTTATTATTTTACAAACAATGTAACGTTCATTTTTAGCTAGCCTATTTCTATGTGAGGAAAATTATTACCTAGATAAAAAGGTATAAAAGTAAAGAAAACCAATTTATAAAAATATAAAGCTTACACGAAAGTTTCATATAAGAAGATGATAATAACTTGGCTGAAGAGCATTTTAAGCTTAAAGCTTTACCTTTTCAACATCATGTTGGAAAAATTAATCACCTTTAGGTTTCCCAGAGTGGATCGTGAAGAAAAAATGATTATTTAAGATCAGGAGAAATTTATTTAATCACTATACATTTTCAAAACTAAGAAATATCTCATCAAATTCTATTTAGAAATATTTATTGATCACACTTTTTTATTTAATCTATTATCTTGGTTCAACCTTTCATTTTTTTAATAATTCAAAGATAAATGATTCCATTTCCATTTTTTTTTTGTATTTTATACATCTGTTGGAAGACAATTGAAAAGATTTGCTTTAATTGAAACTGGTTATAGACTATCAAGTTATTGTCAATAGTTTGATAAATATTTATGTCACTTTTTTTCTAGGATATTCTTTTGAATCAGTCCAATTTATGAGAAAATAACACAACGATATGAAGAATGGAGTTATCTATATATAACTTATTCGATATTTGATTTATATATCACTTTAAAAGTGTCATAAAATCTTTTATGGCTTCTTTTGGTTCTTCATAATGACGTAACTCTTATTATATAATTCCAGTGATTGTGTAAAAATAATTTAATGAGACAGTTTTATTTTACAAGATCTATCAGCTATATTAAAAGTCTCAAATTACCATATTGATAAAATACCTTGGATTGATGGCGATGTAATAATATCAATAAATTAAGCTGGATGCTTTCTTGACAATCTTTGATAGGCTAATTGTGAGCACAAAGCAAAGAAATATAAAAAGTTTGAAAATTTACATTCCCAGAAAGGGAGAGTATAAAGGGATGGAACACTGGCAAATTGAGTTCTGGCAAACAGTACGGGTAAGGTCAACATCCAAGTTCTTTCTTCGATCTCTTAGACTTCCTTTGCAGCTTTACTTCATCAATTTTTTGCTTGCCTCTTTTTGCTAGCTGTTGCAAAGCTTTAACAACTTTACTCGACTGTGTGCCACTGTTGGATGAACAGCAAAGTTATGATATATAACTTGATAGACACCAAGGAGGGATTACCAAGTAGAAATAAGCTTGTATTATTTGTAATAAGTAACTAAAATGTCATGACACAGCTGACGGTGAATAACAAATACTTAGTTTAGTAAATAATTATTTCATTAAAAGTACTATTGATGAACTTCATTAATTATCACCATGCTGTAAATAATAAAGTTTGTTCAACTTTGAATAATGGAAAATTATTTTCGTATCATCTATCTTCAAGATACAAAAATTAGTTGTCTCTTCTCAAAGTATTATATTGTAGCCTTCAAAAATTACTCTTGCATTCAATTTTGAAATAATGATTAATAAATTTTTATTTTAATCAAAATGGAATTAAAATATTATCCTAGAATAAAATTAAAAGTATTATTTGTGCTATGAAGTTTGTTAGGAAGGTAATTATCATAAAATTTTTATCATTTTAGTTTTCTAAATCAGACTTCCACTTCACCTTTCCATTTTAAAAATGTAGAAAAGTTAATATACTTGACAGAAAAAAATTATTTAATCTCTCAGTTTCGAGAAAATTTCCATGGAATATTAAGCCAGAAAATTCTGGAAGATTTCGCTTAATTAAGCTGCAATGGCTCGACACAGAAGGATGTCTCGACTGCACCGGAAACATGGCCTGGTCGCGGGAACAGGGTGTGAGGCTCGTTGGGGCGAACGCATAAGTTACAGTTTGCATTGTGCACAGAGGCTCACGGGCAAACTTCACTGAATCCCTAGGGAGTTCACACGCTCCTGTATTTCCTGAGCGGCTTTCCCCTGGCAGCTTTATAGGTATAAACACACATACACATATAGTTGCACAATCACTGCAACTAAAACTGTGTTTATATAACTGATGTTATAGAGATCTTATTATCAACATGTACAACCAAGAGTCTTGAAAAGAAGTGGAGGAACGTGAATTATTCCAAGTTATATAAAACTATGGTTCAATTTTTTTTCATATCGTATTTTTTATTTCCACTTTCGTGCTTGCAATTTCTTAACTTATTTTTTTACTGAATATAATTAAATAAATTTTTTCTTCGGATAAATTTTCTTCAAATAATAAAAGAATTTTTGATGGAATGTACCTCTAAGTTAATAAAATTTAACTTCATCAAAGATAGAAATACCGGAAGTTAATTAAAATTTATAATACAAAAGCACTAACGTCATTCGAGTGCTTAATTAATTTAAACTTTAATAAACCAGAATTGATTTTGGAATTAATAATTAATAGGTAATGCAATGCTGATAAGAAAAAAGAGAAGTTAAAGTCTGTAACGATTGGTTTATTAATTGAAAAATAAAATCTAAATTTGTCTTTAGGAAAAATGCTAAAATTTAATTGCATTTCATTAAGGATTGAAGTATATATAGGATTCTGGATATCGAAAGTTTTATGGAATATCGGAATTGTTTTTTTAATTAACAAAACTTTTCAGTGATCACGTATAAAAATTTCTCTCATAGCTATCATCTGAATACCGATAGATATTGCGTGCAATTAAGGACATTCCCGATCTTCGATCTTGATCGTCTCACACAATTGCTTTTTCGATATTTTTTCATAACGATATGAATGCGACCTGTACCATCACGAGCATCCACCGACTGTTATTAGGATTATTTGAGTTGTAAAACGAGAATGACGCTTTCAATTTGAGTCGCATGGAAATGTCCCACAAGAGGTTACATTTAAACCGATTTTCTCACGGAATTCCAATTGTCACTGCGAAACTGTACCTTTGGAATTGTTTACACAACAAAATTAATCTGGTCTATCTCAGCAACTGTAGTCTTCTCTGTGAAAATAGGAAATACGTTAAATATACATGATTTACAGTACTGATGCATCAAAGATATATTCAAATTCCTCTTGAATGTATTCTAGTATGCATCTGATTTTCTTTAGTCTTTTAATTAATATAAGAAAATTTCAATAAAAAATATTATTATGTTGGAAGTTTTTGAGTAATTATATCTAATTTTTTTATACAATCACAAAATTTAACATTTTTCAAAGAGAATAAAAAATGTAATATAATTAAAAACAAGCATCTTTATTAATTGTAATTGTATATCTGTTGCTAGAAGTTGTTGATGATTATTATTAAAACAATATCAACGACGCTCATGGAATATAGTCTGTACAAAGGTAATTATATTCCTTCAAAGGATATTCCGAGATATTCTAGATAATTGTATTATTTGTACCACTTTGTCTTGGAAATAAGACAATTTCCGAGAAGAATAATGAATAAGTTGTTTATATTTTTGTCTTTATCAACAAAGTTATGTACATATCAAAACTAAAAGAGTCTATCTTTATTTTTGAAATATGATTGGCAAATTTAGAGTATCAAAAAAAAAGAAAAATTGAATAGGGAAAAATTTTTTGTAAGAAAACTCTGAGAGTAGGAAGACTATTTTCAGACCAGATAACTAACAACAAAGTCATTGTTCCTGTATGAACATCTTCCCTGAGTTTATCTGAAGACAATATTTATTATAATAAATGTCATCATTTTTCGCATAAACAAGAATTATTCATTATTTTGCTCCCCTTATCAGCCAATGATGCTGTTTATATCGTTTTTTTATGGGTTCGATAGGGCTGATGGTACACTGCTTATACTACTGATAAGCAACAGAAGCTGATTATATTCAAAAAACATTGTGATTTGTAGTACTACACAAACTAAAATTCTTCATCCATGTCTTTTACTCGAAAACGAATTCAAGAAGTAACAGTTGTAAGCCGAAAAGTTGAATTGTCTTCTGTCTCTTAAACATTTACATTTTGTTTTATCTCAAAGTGACAACAGCTGGTTGAAATCTCGTTGTCTATATTTTTCTCAAGCATGGGTTTTTTTTTTACTAAGTATCGATCAATGAGAATGTTGGATTATTGCCAGTTAAAAAATTCCAACAAAGCCAGCAATTTATAATAAGCTCTATATATATTATATAGAATTTCTTGAATAATTTGCAATATTTTATGTAACCTAATTTTGAGATGGAAAAAAAAAAATTTGTTCTTTAAATTTGATTCAAGTATTTTGTTCTGCTAACGTAGCCATTTTATCTCGACCTCATACATTTGATAAATGTCAGTAGAAAAATGTGAAGACATTTAATTTTTCACTACCAGCTCTAGGCAAGAAAAGTCATTTAGTAAAATGCATTGAAAGATTTCTGATAACCAGTATCGATGAGTTTGTTTAAGTCAGAGATCTTCTCTATAATAATCAGGTAATTTATCTTACATTCATTATTGTTCTTCTGCAGCTTATATCTTTGTTTTATAAACGTATAGCGATTGATCGAGTTACTTTTATGGGTCATTCTTGTACGATAACCAATGGGAGTACTTTTAGACCCTCTATACATAGAATACAGGATGAAGTGTCAGATGTCTCTTTGCATCATACAGAGATTTCGAAATTTGTTAATATAATTGATAACTAATAGTACAAATTTGTTCACTTTTTAATTTAATATATTGATTCTAGAAATAGACTAAATATGTTATTCTTCGTGTAATAAGTTGTCAATTATGGTTTATTATCTTATTAACGTCAGTTTTAAATTAATTAAGGTATATTATCTAGTACATACTTTCGTTATTCATTTTTAATTGAATAAAAACAATTGTTTTACCACAAATGTTTAAAAGATGCTTTTTAAATAAATATTACCAGTAATATAATTCAAGGAATTATTTTGAGGAACAATTAATGGTTTTAATTAGATACATGATTTGCTTTAAAAAGAATAAGGAGAGTGTGAATCACTCTTTGAAATGTCAGTAATGAGATTGAGATTTATCAATTTACCATTTCATAAAAATAGATAGTTGGCTTTCATACAATAACAGAAATGGACATTTGCAATTTTATCTTTCTTTAAATAAAAAATCAATTGTTGAAACAGATAGGAGGTCTGCTTTCATAATATTCGTAATTTATTTGTTGTAAATAGATTGAATTTGTTGCATTTAATATTTTTCTGAAGATACAAAACAGAAATTAAGGCTACTTCAGGAACAGGCCTTCGATCTGTTGTGGCAACGGAATATTTTTCCTCTGTGTACAGAGAAGAAATGTAACAGACATATCAGTGTGTCAACAATCTCAACGACTTGCCCATGGACAATTTCTTTCGTTTACCAAGACCTGGCATTGGACAATAGCCAAGTGGTATCATACGTTCTCTTTCCTTTTTACTGACTCTTATAGTTTCTTCAAATTGTCTCAAAGTCTTCACAATAGTCCAGTTAGTATTGAGAAAATAAAATATAAAAAGTCAATGTTTTTTCATTCCTCAGAAAAGTAACTGAAATTATCTTTTATGTTTACTGTAAACTTTCGCGAGATACATATATATATATAATAACTAGTGGAATATTTTCTAACATAATTGGAAATTCAAGAATCAAGTGCGCTTATAATGGATGCTAACTTATCTCTCTCACATTATCTCTCTCGAGTTCGAGTCTAGGCACTTCCGGGACTCATTAATATAAGATTATCAATAATAGAAAATTATTAAAAGTTTTAAACTTACAGACTAGGACAGTTTTATGTGGAAAATCTTGTTCATTTTAAACTCGTATTGAATATGCAACTAGAACTTTACTGATTATTTTTACCTTGTCTGAAATTTATTATAATATCATATTTTAAAATTTCTATTTAGTAAATTTTATTTTGCAATTCTTTTATTTATGAGTTTATGAAGATTTTCTTTACAAGTTTGCAATTATGAAAAATATTTGTTGCATTTCCATCGGAAATTGAGATTTCAATAGAGGATAAAAAAATGCAGACTCAAAGGTTTTCGAATGAACTAAATTCAAAATGTAAATCAGCACATATTTGAATTAATGTATATTTTTCACAAACAGGAGATTAAAGTGTATAGCAATATATATCAATAAAAAAAAGGCTTAAAAATAAATGCTTTATTGAATATCGGATGTTAAAATGAATTAATATTAATTTTAAAATGTAAAAAAATAATAATGAAACCTTTGATCAATTCTCCATCAATTAATAGAATTGTTTTTCAACGATAAATTTGTTTATTTATTGAATTGAATTCGATAATTTTAATACGATTTTATAAATAATATATTGGCTGGAGTTTAATTTATTTCATAAAAATAAATAACAACAAACAATAATTAATTTTTGAAATTGAATTATTGTAGCTTGATAACGAGTTTACATATTAAAGAAATGGGAACTATCGAGAACATTCAATGTTTCAAAATTCATAATTAATACAAGCGTCTTCTTAAATAATTTATTCTGACAAAATTTCCGGCATTTCCATTATAATTTAAAATATCAGTATAATTTAAAGTGAATTAGAATAATTTTCTGTAACTAAGACATCCCAAAAGTTCTTTCGGGTTCAGTCGTTCAACTAAAGTTTCTGATTCGTAGCGACATTTTACTGCAACTGGTTATGTGTATTCGCAGCTTCTTGTGAAGAGTTACATGTGGACATAAAGACCATCTGGACGGTTAGCCACAATCTGTTTTGTAGAAATCCTCCGAGCTGGCTTTACACAACGACCATGCGGAAAATTGTATATTCTACATATAGCATTATGTTCATTTGTTTGTCATTAGTATTGTGATTATAATAGTGGTATTTTAATCTAGTTATCATTTAAATTAGCTATTGTTCTATAAATTGAATTTTTTTAAATTCCAAATAAATTAATTATTTGACTTTGATGTATAAATACTGATGATTAAATAAGATTAAGACATTTATTTTTTACAACTGAAGATTTTATACAGTTCGAATCACTCATTTATCGTACTTGTCACGTAAACGAATAAAATCACCAGCAGTTTTTTGAGCCCCAAAGTCATTTAATAGTACAGTTTGCTCACAGTAGGGAATGGCTTTTGATTTCTCACTCAACTTCATACAGACAGTCCCAAAGATAATTCCATGAATATCGCGTCATGATCCAATAGTCACAGGCTAAGAATAAATCTTTTTATATTCTAAATGCTAATGAGCAATAGGTAGACCTTACATTTTGTACCATTTTTCAACAAGAGTGAAGGCAGTGCTGACTGTATAGAGATGAGATGAAGAAATTGCTATAAATATACATTTAAAAAAATTCATTTTATTTTATTATCATTAAATAAAAAAAAACATTTAATAAAATGGAAAAATTTTTTGTAATTATCGAGAGCTCAACATAATAAAAGAACGAGACATATTTTTTTTTTACTAGACTTCATTATTTGAAATAAGCTTTTATTGGCTTAAACAATACTGGAGAGCCATGACAAAAAATGAAAAAATTTTTTACCATAAGCTCAATAGATTTTCGTTGGATTGAATATCAACAATAAGGTTATTGATTTTAAAGAAAGATTTTCCTGTTGAATGTAATTATTTTAGCAAACAGAATGTTCTCTTTGAATAATATTTAATTAAATACGATAGAGTTACTTCATTAATCAAAGATTGATTTAGTTATAGAAACTTTAGCTCAGGAGAATTCCTGATGATAAATATTAGTATTAGACCATCGTACAGAAGCCATTGGTGACAAGATAAGATATCAAATGATTCCTACAAAAAACATGACCTAAATAAAGCATAAAATATTGGTTCAGTAAAACAAAAACAATTTCCATTACTCAATTTACTATTTAATTAGAAATCGATTGTAAAAATCGACTTATCGTTTTCTAACAAATGTCATCCTATTTAGTTTTTTTCACAAAACAATAATTTTTCATGTTATCTCGTTCAAGTGGATTTGAAGATTTGTATTTCCAGAATTGAAATCATTCGGATGAGAAATAGAGAAACAATAATCTTATAGAAGATGTTTCCTGTGACATGAAAGCTATTATGTTTGTCCAACTAAAATTCTTGAGTTGTTAAAGCCATTGTTGAGGTAGTATCGATTTCGGTTGGGTTATGTCCACTTGCAGTGGTCAATTTGAGCCAAGTTTCCAAAATCCCAGATTCAAGATTTATCTGATCAACTGCTGTTTTAAGATATTGATTAAATATAAATCACTTAATTCTAGGACATATAAAAATCAACAATATAATCTATTAAAACCGCTCGCAAATTAAATCTTGATAAATATCGTCAAGTAAACAGCTTTGAAAGTTATATTCATTCAAAAAGTGGGTTAGATCGATAAGAAACTGAAGATCAGCAGACTCTTCATCTTCATCTTGAATATTCTCCATCATTTACATGACTCGCAGATAAAACCTGTCGATCTGGAGATGCAATTTTTTTATTTTCTAAGAAATCTGTAGTGGCAATTCGATGGACACAACCTAAACTCTTTTCTGGTAAGATTGGTTTAGGGGGTAGTTCACGTCCATGCAGGTGGTGGTAAGAATATGGTAGTAGTCGGGGGCCGATATCTAGCTAAGCGCTCGCGCAGTCGAATCGTGGTACTCACCACGAGAACGACCAGTTCCTCTGCTTTCATTTAAAGCCGCTGTGCGATTCGCGAGTTGCTGTATACAACCCTAGTGCAGTTAAATGCATAATTAGCTCCATTTTTTTAATCCAAAAAATTCTTGTATACAAAAATAATTGTCACAGAGTTTTTCTATTTTTTTTTTCTCTACACCACGACATAAAACTTTCTCCAGACTTTTAATTGGTTAATATTTGTCAGTAAATTTTGAAAGCATTTAGCAAGCCATGATAAATGTTTCGTGCATTATTAGTGATTATATTATTGATGAATGACGTAAATTTTATCGTTGATTTTAAAACGATCATCTAAATAATTGTGGTTGTAATGGTGATGAAGCATTAAAATATATTTCAGTAAATATTCAGTGGAATTTTGAAACTAAGTAAATAAGTGAATAGTAACCTTTTATAAATATCAACAATACATGTTTTTAACTGACATCATCCCCATGAGCAAATTCTACAAAGTCAAAAGTATCATTTAGTGTTTTCCCGCGAATACATTTGTTTATTTATCTCCAAAAAAAAACTAAATATCAGCGAATTTTTTTTCAAAGTGTTTTTTTTTTGCACATTTTACGATAATGAAAAATCCATTAATATTCTATTCAATATATTTGAGTGATCAAGTTGGATTGAATCGTAATAATAATAATAATAATTCTGCCATCAATGAAAGTGAGTATATATTTTTTAATCATCGAAAAATTAAAGCTTTCAAATATATCATTATTGTTAATGGCTTTTGAATTATCAAGATGCATTGTAAGCTGAAATAAATAATTCTTATGGATAATTTTGAATACACAGATAAATCTTTTAGCTCGATTTATGTTCTGCATGACACAATTACTATATTTTTTTTACCGTCAAGTAAATCTGCTATAAATATCGGTCAACTCTCATTACATAATGTTACAAAAAGTTGCATAATTTATTTTTGCAAGTAAAATACATATTTTATTTCCCTATCATTGAACTGTGATCTCATTTTGATTATGGAAAAAAATTTAATGATGAATTCATTTATATGTCAAAAGTTCAATGCTTCTGAAGCCACAGTTATGAGCTGGATCTCTCGATTTTGAGGACGAATCATTCGTCCAAGATATTCGACTCTTAAGGATCCTGTGAAATGTACTGGAAGGAATGCATCGGGAAGTTGTTACGAAAGGATTTACAATTTAAATATCGCTGCAAAAATGTAGTTATGTGGCACATTATAGTCTATGCAATCATCATCTCATCGATCTTAATTCAGGGTAAGTAAAAGCATGGTATTTTATGGTAAACAATTTCTTATAATAATTTTGTAAAATTTCTCTGTTGATTTAGTGTATAAGTATATTAAGTAATTGGATAAAAATAAGTTGAAGTAGAACGAACAAGCAATTTAGTTTTGTTGTGAATCGATAATCGTGTAATGTAACTTGGTAATAAAAAAAAACTTTATAATTTGTCACGAACGGGGATAAAAAATAATCTATCTCACTCAATAAATTATCAATGGTGTTTTTGATTTTTTAATAACTTCATTTGGTTGACGAGTAATGCAATATAGCGATAGAACAAAGATCAACACCTAATGGAATCACTTGCACATCAATCGATATTCAAATCTTAATTTTAGAACTTGCAGCCCGAAATAATACCTTAAGTCTCCATTAAACGAATAAATATAGCTAGAATTTCTCGTCGTAATTGCTTTGAATCTTTCATCAGAGACACACAAACAGCAGAAAAAAGGATACACTGGCTCTAGAGTCGCGTCTTCTTGATCCACAGAGAAAAATTGAGCTCTCGAGGCTCTAAGCTCGGCTAAACAATTTAATCTTGTTGCTCTATATAAATAGATATATATATATATATATATACATGTACTGTGAACTCAACCAAGTCTTATATCGTACTTTAGACTCACTTCGAGCAAAATGGAGAAAGATTATTATTTAAACGCAGTTAATTAATTGAGGTCTTTGTGACTTAATACATATTAATTCAGTTTTGTGGATCTTGACGCGAAGAATTATTTTGTGTAATTAATTAATAAGCGGATTAATAAATTATTTTTCTTTGTTTTAATCTGACAGACGTCGTCGTGGAAGGATGATAAAGTTTTAGACTCAAAGCAGTGGTAATAATTTTTTTTTATGAAAAAATGTTTTTTTAACTTTACTTTTTGGTTGGAAAAAATAGTTCACGATTTTATAATTAATTTTTTGCTACGAGTAATAAAGTAGGATGTGTATAAATAAATTTAAACATCGGTAAAAAAAATTTTTCTAGAATAAATGAATAATCAAAGTTGTAGAAATTCTGTTGTATGCTTTGAGTAAAAAATATGTAACAATTTAATTTAATAATAGCTTTCTAATTTAATAATATATTTATTGTTATGATTTTTTTGTAGTTATGTTGTTGCATAAAAAACAAACATTGTTGTATGAAAATTTAATTATAAATCTCAAAACAATGATGCTCCATAAAAATATACGAGATATTCAAACTCCACAAAAGCAAACAACTATCAACAGTTGTATTGTATGTCTATTATATGACAATTGCTATTCTCAAAATTACATTCTTATTATCATTATTATTGAAGTGAATATTGAAGTTTACGTTTCTCCATAGCAGCTGTTTTTCCCCAGTGAAATATCATTTTTTGTCTTTTCCATTGGGACATAAAGGAAATAGATAGCTGGCATGCAATAAATCTGAAATTTATAACGGGATAAGCTGATTTAAGCAGGTTACGAGAATCAGGTGGATCATAACGGTCGTAAGAAAAATGAAAATCTTTTTAACGGCTAAAGATGAGCCTATGGATGATACTAGAAAAATAGTATTAAAAATTATCCCCATAATTCATAAAAAAAATTTTAGTAACACTTTTTTTATTATCCTCTGAATATAAAAAAAAACTTTTATTTTTTTTATTTATTATAAAAATTTAAGATTTTTATAATCAGGAGTTTGCTAAAGTAACGCATGCTTTTGATGTACAAATTGACATCTCTGACATACTAAAACATCCTTTTGCGAATCAACGTTGAAATATAATTAAAACTCACTTTAGTGAACTTTAGAGAAATTAAATTTCTTCCCTTGTAAGAGGCTATTAATTGCCCAACGCTGTGGAATTACTGCGTGATAACTAACACAGTTAGTCCATTTTGTTACTTCCAACAGAATCTTTGTTATATTTCTTCATTCATTCTGTAATTTCCTGCTGTTTATGGTCCAAAATTGGATCAATAGTATTTTAATTGTCAGCAGTGAAAAAAGTTATAAAAGTTATTGTAAAAAATTTAGAAATTTTTAAATCTACTTTGTTGTCACATTTAGATATAAATGAAGGTTTATATGAATGATTATCATGACTTGGTATTATTCAAACGATTATACTGGCACTTTTTCAAAAAATACATCTTCAGATGTGTCTATCCAGCATCAATTGATAGTATTGAATGTATACCTCCCATATGAAAAATGAAGATCATGCTCTTTTATAGTTTTTCCATTTTATTTTTCATAACAAAAGACTAATGATTGGAATGATATTCTGATGTTGATACATTGTTAATTTTTCTATTTTGCCCTTCATGCATCCATCTTATTCATTTACAATAACAATTTACTCTTCAACATTATTCCAAACTATTTTAAAAATTGAAATCTCAATTTATTAATTATCTTCTTCATTTGGTGGATTAAATTATAATCAAAAGTTAATAGACTAATTATAATTTACTGTCAAAAATAATTTTACAAGTCTGAAAAAATAAGAAATATCGAAATCCGATGCTTTAATGCACTTTTTTCAGTTTTTCACCGAAATGTATTTTACATTATCGCCATGCTGATATTGATATTTAAATGGTGAACAAAAGTATCACACATTCTTATCACATGGCAGTTTGCCAAACCAATACGAGATATACATACATATCTTTTATAAAACATTAAAAGTTTTTCACGAGTCATGATCTACATTATCTATAGTAATTCTAAAGAAACTTAGTTTCAATTATTCAGTAGTGTAATTTATCCATCAGTATTCTCAACACAATTCTATCCGATTTTAATTTGGTATAGAAAATAATAATGGAGTATTCAAGTATTTATTTGGTGTAAAGATAATACTATCAATTTGATAGTTACCTGATATTGATTGACCTGTTTTTGTGGCTTCCATATAAATGAAGGTTAATGGAAGTATGACCTAAAACCACCATATAGGTATACTCATAATGCAAGTAATTATTAGTAAATTCTATGAACTCATTACAGATGCTTTGTAAACAGAGTCCTATGACATTTTTCAATAACAGGGTTTATCTCTCAATAGAGCTCTTCTGACAATCGATCACTCGATATCCTTCCATCTATCAAACATTTTGTCATTACTATCAATATCTTATATCGATTCATATTACATCACTATCATCTATGCATGTTTGACTTTAAGGTACAAGATATTTTTGAAATAGATATTCACATCAAATTCATGAAAATTTAGTTCAAGTTAATAAAAATAATCAAATTGTAAAAAGCATCAAGAGTAAAAAAGAATATTTTTCTTCTCAATTTATCATTTTTTTCGAATAATTATTTTTTGATGACTTGAATTTAATGATAATGGAAATTGTGACAAAAAGTTGCCATTCATCTAAAATAGTTTATAATTCTTTTGAGTTACGACAGAATTCATTAAAAAGCAATTTTATACATTTTTCATTATTTTTGATTTATTAAAATTTATAATACTCTAAATTAATTGTTAATATATTTTTAGAACTTTTTTTCAAGCAAAATCCTTATTAAAAAGTTTATAACACTCTTTTATAAAGTCGAAAGTGTTTGAATTATTGGTTTCGAATTTACCAAGTTCTAAAGAATTATTAATATTATTGAAAGCAACTGTGAATTAAAATGATGCATATTAAGTGTGTTCAATGTTAAAATTCAATCTACAAAGCATTCTGTTTTATTCCATAATTCTTTAATTTGTTCATAGAAATTGTAATATTGTACACACTTTATGTTAATTACTTTAATATATTTTGAAAATCTTGTGTTTGCAGTAAATACAATCATAGAGTGATTTTACATTTTTTTACTATCACATACTGAATAATAGAGAATCTTAATAAGCATAAGTTTTGCTGTGAAATAACATTAAGTATTCAAATACGTAAGTATTTCTGATTTAATTAGTATTGAATTATTATTCATTGCTTAATAAAAATAAGATGCAGGAAAGATAGACTACAAAAAACATTTTCATTCCGAAACTCTCAGCTTTTTCTTTAGTACTTCGTAATTAAGCGGTAAAGCTCTTAAGAGGTTTAGGTACTATTAAGAGTACTGCAGCTCTTATTGTTAAGATACTTTGCAATTGTCAGCGATTTCTTTGGACGCTGTTTTAGTTTTCATCTTTTTCAGTTCAACATTTAGGTGTAAATTGAAGACAAAAATTATAAAATTTATACTTTTTCATTTATTCTTTTCTTGTTCTTATTATTATTATTGCCATAATTAATCGTTATCGATCAGAAAATTGTTTCATCCTTTTTTCTTAAATTAAAAGATTTTTCTCCAAGATGAGGAGCAAAGGTTTCTCAAACTGGATGATTTCATCTGTTTGACAATATCAAGTATCAAAGAATGAATACTTAATAAAGTTACAGGAGTAAATGGTAATTTTATTTAAATTTCAGGTTTTTATGAGTTAAATGTAAAAAAGTTAAATTCAACTGCTAGTGAATAGTAGTGAACTTTCATTTTATTTTATGTTAAAATGTGTCAGTATGTTGAATTATTCAAACTCTATTTCTATACCCACGATCTAATTATTTTATATAAAAATGTTATACGCTATATTATCTATGTACTGATACAAAAAAATTCATTTCTTTCAATTCATATGCTTTGAATCACTTCAATGACACACATTTTCTATTCTATTTAATTATACTGATGAATGAATTATAAAAACATTGAAAGCAAAATTTATCATTCACAATTAATCGAGAACCATTACATTAACAACCATTATTATTACAACAATAACTGGAGATTATTGTTATTAATGTTCGAATGATGAATAAAAAACTTTATATAAATTTTTAATTATATTTAGGAATTCTGAAGTAAATTATCCGATAAAAAGCATAGTATAAAAAATTCTCAATTATTTATATAATACTCTGCACAAAGGATAAAACTTAGTTTGATGTTTTGTAAAGTGCACGAGTCAGTTTTTTGCTTGATTTTGTCGACTCTTTTTACGTATATATACGTACCATTAAGAAAGGCGAACGAGGACAAGTTTAAAAGTTATTGCACTCGTTTTAAGTTTTCTGAACTTCCTGAATGTATATCAATCTATATATTGTAAATTTACTCGGTAGCATATGTAAAAGATGTTTGCAATATAAAAATGTAGAAAATAACGAATGGTGTAATTTATAATTAACTAGTATAATAAGGTTAAATAAATATTTCATATTTTATACTATTTTTCATAACTGTTATTTACTTTTAGTTATAATAAAATAAGCAACTGCCAAGTTATTTTCATGTGTACTTGAATATACAAATTTATTTAATGACGAGATAACTACACCAGACTTATTAGAGAAATGTGAGAAAATGCATCTTTATTTTTAAATGTTGCAATTTAAATATGATAAATAAATGAAAGTAGATTTTTATAATAAAATAAATTTGATGTTGACTCTTTTTTTAGTATATATATACAGAAGGAGAGAGAGGCCTAGTTAAAATGACCTAAAATAAAAAATAAAAAAAAAAGGGAAAAAATCACGGAGATATCTGACTGTAATTTGACTATTCGATGTGCACGTATATGATGCGTGATCAATAATTAAAAAAAGCGTTTGAGGTTCATAAATATGTGAATCACGGATGATTAATTGTACAGCTGTAAATATTTTTATGGCTTTTACAATGAAAAATATAATAAAATGTAATAACATAAAATGAAAGCTTCTTTCTATCGAAAAAAAAAAAATTTATAAAAAGATTATAAACAAAAAATATGTTTTCGGTAGATGTTCATAATCATTTAAATGATTCCATATTCTATGAAAAAAAATTATATCTCATACATTTTATATCCCTCGATTAATTTTTTTTTATATCAAAAGTGGCTTTTTCCCTTTGACAGTTGATAATTTTGACAAAAAATAGTATACAATACACAAAAAATCAATTCTGCAAAAAAGCACAGGCTTTTAAACACTGCCCATATTTAATCGCATATATTTTTTTGTTTTAGAGTGCTTTTAGAGTCAGTAAAACTAAAAGATTTTTCTATTTTTGATGTGCGGTAATCAATAATGAACAAAAAAAAATAAATAAATAATTGGGAAACTCGATAGAATGTTTAAATACATCACACTCCAATCATTCTTTTCATCTTGATACACTTCAAAAAGACAATAAATACTTTTATCTTCACAAACACATTCTCTACAATTTTATAAAAATTTTTTCAAATATTATAAATAAATTAAAATAAAGTTGACTGGATTTTACTTCTATTATGCTAGTTTTTTGTAAATTTAATAAGAGATTTTTATTTTTTTCGTTCCATCAGAAATTTTTTTTTTAATATATTCGCGTGATATGTCTCTTTGTTAAACCCAACAATATCACTTGATAATCATTTTGAAATCCCTCTTTAATATGCAATCATTTTATCATAATCACTTAATTATTCACTACACTACATTTTCAATAGTACTTCAAAAAATATTCCAAATAGTTTTCCTCTCAATTTTCAATTGAAATAACAGTTGTGATGTTTGTGCGTACAACACGTATCTGAAGTTAAACGAGTAATAGTTGGAATTCTCTTCAATTTCTCTATTTCAATTTGTTAAAAATGTCGGAACTTGAATAAAATTTCATCTTGATACACTGAAAGCTGAAACAACAGCGTGGCAATCCAATACCATTGTATGCTCGATGTTAAGTGAAATAAGATACTAGCTGTGACAGGAATGTACTTACAATGCAATGAGAACCGCATTTTATCGGAAATGTCACTGCACTTCACCTAACAATTTCAGGTACTCGAACTTACACGCTAGACGCACCTTTCAGTCACGCTTGGAATGACATTATTTTACCCTCAATGTATTCGGAAGGGGTCTCTTTTCAGTTGTCAGTGACTTACACGCGATCTAGAACTCGTTCACTCCTTTTTCGAGAACTCTCATTTTCAATTCATTGTTCACATTTTACTGTTTATATTTCTCACCTAAATTCACTACTTCTCTTATCAGCTTCCAGTCTCACCAATAACAGTGTGAATACTATTCTCTTCAGCCAACCGACCTATCTTTCTTTCGTATTTACATATTCATTTACTCTTTTATCACACGTTTTTATTTTCTCCTTTTCGTATTAAGCTACTCAATTCTCTTGAATTTTCTTAACCACAAAAAACTGTCTACCTTAAGTCGTGAGTTGGTAGGTTTTTAAAAACGTTACAAAGTTTACGTTACGAAATACAGTAAGTAATTGCAAACAAGCCTGCTCGGTTTGTCAAGAAGATACGAGAAGCAATGGTACTCTAGAGATAGCATTTTAATAGTAAAATGTCGCCGCCACTTGGTAAATACTGACTGTTTGCTGAACAAACTATTCCAGTACACGTTTATCTGACTTAAAAAGAAAATAAATTTACTACAACGAGGTGTTTTTCCTATACAATTTAATGTTCTACATACAAAAAAAAAATGAATAAAAACTGATTTGTGGAATTTTTTTTCTTATACCGCTAATTTGTCTTGATTTTTTTGTGATTGACTCGATATGTCATTTTTGTTTTTTTTTTTAATCGTAAAATACGTAGTGAATGACACGAAATAAGCCAATCGTTGTTTTTGACGCAATGCAGTTACACATTACATGTGGATATCACGTTCGGTCATGATGATTTCACTCAGCCGTACTTTAATTCAAACCCCCAGAGACGGTTTCGCAGATTTTGCGAATTTGACGCACACATACCTCCCCTGCGAATACATCCATTCGTAAGGGAAATACGTTAGTGACAGTATTATTACGCCATGTTATTCCTACCATGCTTATATTATATTAGTTATATAAATAAAATTCAATCAAATTTGACATAGAACCAATCCCTTCGTCATCATTATTTCAAGACAAAATTTGATTGTAATATTTCACTAATAATTCTTCCTAATAATGGTGACTTTAGGTTTCTTATTTTATTTTTAATGATAGATGATATAATGAAGTATTAAAAATTCCTTTCTCTTGATAATGTTAGATATTTTTTTTGTGATATATTATGTCAAATATCGATCTTTAGAATTAAGTGGTTAAATCGTAGCAAGTGTGTTCTATTGAATTTATTTTCTTTCCAGAATCTGCTGGAAACATTTCACAAAATTTTATCACCAACTACCTCGAAGAACATCGATCATACGATACAGCACCTTACTTTGACACCACTGTTCAGCGTAATACCACTGGGCTAGAAGGGAAAACTGTTCATCTTGTATGCAGAGTAAAAAACTTGGGCAATTTAACAGTAAGTTGAAGTCGACATATATTATTTTATGCAGCCAAGTTCATTATTTGAAATATAGTAACGGTAAAACTATTTTAAGTTGATAAAATAACTTATATGATTCAAAACCCATGGGCTATAGATAATATAATCAATAAAGTAGATTTTTCTTCCGATGAGAAATAAATTTTTTTTTAGCGAAAAACATTCAACATAGAATAATATTTAGAGAATTTATAAAGGAAAATTTGAAAAAAATTATCAGCACATTGTTGGGTTTTTGTTCATACAGTCAGCAAGAATTCTATTCATATCTCTGAAAATTTTATCAACTAAATTTTTTACTCCAAGAAGTCTAGCATAAGTTGATAAGGAATTAGCATAACTAAGATTATTTTAAATCGTCCATGACTGCGTTTTTTTTGGACTTCATATACATATATAGATATATTTCTGAAGGCAGTAGGTGCACATCAGAGATTAATCCGTGCTAAGTTTTAATTAAGAGGTGAATCGCTGCATAATTTTTCTGCTCAATTCCTACTAAGTCATGAAAATTATGAATAGGAAAACTAAAATCTAACGAGGACTTTAATAAATATCAATCAATGATGAACTGATTTGATTCAGATTTGACATTTTTCATTTATCAATAATTTCGATTATTACCTTTTCTCTCATTACAGTTAAAACAAGTATAATCAACAAGAACAATTTGTAGAGAATAAATTTGAGATTAATTTTTGATCTGATAGGAATGATATTCATTCATTTATATAACAATTGATTTGGGAAATATTTATAAAATTCAATACTTAATCTCTCAGATTAAAATAATTGACAGAAAGCTCATACTTCATTGGCAATGCTATTTCTGTAGATTAATGGATAAAAAAAAATTAAATTCCATTTTTGGCAGCTTCATTGAAGATTATTCGTCAATCGGTTTGAACATTCATTATAGGAATGTGATTTCATGAAATTCGTCAAATCATTTGATTCTTAATTTTTGATAAATTTTAAATAATTAAACGTTACTCGTATACTGAATATTCAATCACCCAAAAAGTTTAATAGCCAGCGCCAGATAAATCCATGAATTATCGTATTACTGATGATGAAACAAGCTGACGTCAATGCGAAAATGGAAATATTCATATTTTCATAAATTAATGAAAAAGTAATTTGATCCAAGTGATAAGATGTTTACAGTTGTACTTTAAGAGAATCTTGTTGATTAACAGCTGAATCATGTTTCTCAGATTGTTTGCACAATATTGGCGTAAAGCTGAGGGTAGAGAAGATTGTTTTGTCAATAGCTTCAACAACTCATTTAACTTTCAGAGTGATTATAAATTTTTAGATAGCTCGTTATAGAATATTAACATCGTGAAATTTTCAGTGCGTAAGCATCTTAACTCGTTAGGATTACCAGAATAAAGCCCCAAAAGTAGCTTCAGAAATGCCTTTCATTTGCGATAATGAGAAGGAAAGGAAACCAGAGGGGATTCTGTGAGATTAAATTCGGAAGCTTAACTCAATTATTCTACTTATAAATTATCTGAAAGTTTTTGTCAATGAAACGATCGCACTTTCCGTTCTAAATGCTTCCTGAGGTACTTCCTAATTAAATCTATCGAAAAGTACTTAATGAAAATCGTAATTATCGCATACCAATTTTTATGAAAAGTACATAATTTTCAAAAATACTAAAAACTAAAGGAAAAATAAAGTAGTTTCTCGTAAGAGCATTTATTCATTGCAATATAAATTATCCTTTTCACTTAATTTAATAACATTTTGAATATTATAAACCATTATTTATATAAACAACTTGTATTTATTGAACAATGAAAAGTTTATGTATCGGTAAATAAATTGAAAATGTGATAAAAGATTTGAATGAATAAAGTACAAGTTGATTAATAATTGTATTCATTATGGATGACAGTAATAAAAGTAAACGATATGAAATATTCATTCGTTTAACGTAATGTTTTTTGAATATAATTTGTTTTATATTGGCGATGAAAAAAATATTAAAACTTTATTTGGTGCATGAATGAAATCTGTTCCATGTCCTAGTGGTTCGTTCAGGTAATTAACTGATACTCAGCTCATGCATATAGTGACGAAAATTTTGTAATTATTCTAGCTGTTGTGGGAGACGGCTGGCCAGTCGAAAATTAATGCGCTCATATTCTTGTACAATTAAAATGGTAATTTTTTAATCGTCTGCCAGCACATTGTTCTGGTTAATTTATATTGTCTCTGACATTTTTATATAATATATAACCCTATGAATATATAGATGTATTTTCTTGAATGTATATTATTCTCATATATTTTACAGTATATATATATATATATGTTTACATGAGGAGTAAGCAAAAAATTCGTTATCAAAATCATATATGGATATTAGGAGAATCATCTACGACTTTATTACTTATAATATTACATGCATTAATTATTTTTTTACATTTTCCTTCTCTTTTTTACTCTTTCACATACCTCCAAATTCTATTTTTATATAATTTTGTCCTTTTACGATAACTATTATCTTTTTATCCCATTTTTTATTGTAGAGAAAACTGCGAAAAAATAAAAGAAAAAAGAAGCTTTTGTTATTGTTAACAGTGGTGTAGAAATATAACATAGAACCGTAATGGATTCTGCATAGTACCATAAACTTCTTAAAGAAAACGAGGAAAAATAAAATTTTATCGTTCAATCATGTAAGCGTTGAAGCGTACGTTATTATAGGAAACATAATAAGCGCTACTACGAAACGATCATAATAATGCATAAATTTAATGTCATAATATGTGTTTATCTTGTACAAGCTATTAAATTAAGAGTAATATTTTTCTCAAGTATTTAGTGTAATGATTTTTATAATTTTAACAAGGTCTCTTGGGTCAGACACCGTGACATCCACTTGTTGACAGTCGGACACTATACATACACTAGTGATCAACGCTTCGAAGCTCTACATACTCCACATTCCGAGGATTGGATACTCAAGATTCGCTACCCCCAACTCAAGGACTCAGGAATATATGAATGCCAAATATCAACGACGCCCCCAATTGGCTATAAAGTTTACGTCAATATAGTTAGTAAGTAACTCAATATTCATTTTTGATGGGCTATTATCTGCGATTTAAGGAGAAGTAAAATATGAAATTTCATTCTAGAAACCGAATATCATGTTATATAGTTAATTAAAAATTCTTTAAATAATTATGAATAATCAAGTAAACAATTGATAAAAAGAAGAATATTTAATTTCTTTTAATTAGTAATTAAAAAATTAATTGGATACTCATCTTTGCATTTTTTTAATAAATTTTACGTCATATTTTACTCCTTTTAATTTTTCTTAAATTCAAGTTTTTTAATTTTTCTACTTTGATATGGGTTTTAAATAAAATATACCATTAAGGGAATTCCTTTTGAAAATTCTATCACTCAGTAATGAGTAGATTTTAATTCAAAATTAATATTACTCGAATATTTCTTTGAACTAGATCAGTCATTTATTTACATATTTTCAACTTTCATGATAATTTCTTTGAACATAGAATTATCATTTGGAGTTTTAATGTAGTATAATAAATACTCTTATTGCCATGGTGATATATAGTAAATTCCATAAGTATATTGATAAAATGATAAAATGAATTTTCCTATTGAATGAACGTAAATCCAACCAATCATTTAGATTATTGAATTATAAATTCTATCGATCAGATGAATTATTCTGGTAGTTGGCAAGAATAAATACACAAATTGGAACCCTTGAAAGTTAAACTAAGGACACAGCTTTACGATTTTTTGTAAATTTTTTTTTCTTTTGTATTTATCATAAAATATACAGCTAACTTGGTTCAACTGTGTCCTTAATTTAACTTTCAGAAATTTTTATTTGTGACTTTATTCATACCACCCAGTGAATCATTTAATTCGAAAAGAATACAGTTACTTCAGAACTACTAAATTCCAATAAAATAAAATTCAATGGAAAATAATTTTTTTGCTTCTGATATTGGTAAAATGCTTTACTAAAAAAAATTTTGTTCAATATATAAATTTACATGGTAAAATAATTAAATCGTTAGTGATTTATAATATACAGTCAATCGATTTATTATTTTTTTCATTTGTATTCAATTTGAAGAATATTGTATTAGAAGTCAAATATAAACTTTACTTGTTATTACATGCAGGAAAGTTTAAAGGGACCTATTTGAGTACTTAGATAGAATGAAAATAATTTTGATAGAGTCAGTGAGTGACAATAAAATTTCTTGATCAAAGTCTTAATAGGAAAGATGAACGAAGTTTGCTTCTAATTTCTATATAGATCTCTTTATGCTTCTTCTATTGACTACTACCTAATGGTGTTGGTTAGTTTGAAAGAGCATTTTACACTCGGTCGATCGAAGAAAGGTTAAAGGAAGCGCAACTTCTGTCTGGCAGAACTCGGTCATTTGTTGCTTAATTTGTTGCTTAAATATACTGGAAAAATCAACTTGTAGCTAATAAGAGAGCAAAAGACAAGTTGTTCATCAATTGTAAACTGTTCAAGTATTTTCTTCATTGATATTCAATGAGCATAAAATGTTGAAAAGAAATTATTAAATAAGCTTAGTAGAAAAAAAAATAGGAAAGAAGGAATTATTGTAGATGAAAATATATTTGTATATATATTTTGTATTTATGTTGTATATGTATATATATTTTTTGAGGAAATTCTTTGAAAATATAATACGCAATATGTTTACAAATGATTTAAAGTATTTCTCAAAGGAAAAAGTAACTATAATTACTATTCATTTTCATATCTTTTAAAGCTCTTTTCTATGCTTTCAAATTTATTGCGATGGTGTATGGAACCATAACCAAGTGACAGTCTAAAAAAGTATGATCTTTCAGTAGCAATGTTCTCACTTACATTCCAGCCATTACTATAATTTGATACGATGAGATGGAATATTTTTTGTGAGAAAAAATATCATAAAGCTCTCATCAAAATCATGAGATACTTTTAATCCTACTTCAAATTTTTATCAAGTCTTACGGACCAAGTACAAAATTGAATTACACTACTCAATAATTAATTCGTGCGGTAATGTATAAATTAAGAGAACTTTGTGTATGCCACCGATTAAGTTGAACTTCATTCAGAATTCAAAGCATTAATTAAATTTGAATGGATGACTTTCTAAATCTTCATTAAATTTTTATATAAAGTTGCAAGATTGAATTTTCTTCTTATGTATTTAGTGCAGAAATCATTGGCATTTTTGCAAATAAACATTTATGTGAGCTTTAAATAACATTTTACTTAGAGAACTGTAATCTAATTTTTTATTTACTGAAAATGCATCCTAAATATTCAAAATCAATGTAATTCATTATTAATAAATATTTTAAAAATTATTTTTCTATAAAAATGATGAAAGATTAAGATAATAATGATTTACAATAAATATTTTTTAAAAAGCTTGCGGTTTTATACTTAAATATCTAACATTAATTAATTTTTTTTCTCTTAAAACTTGATGTTTAAAATCGGAAAATAATGAAGGAAAATCTAGAAATTTATGTCCACAGTGTACCTCATCTTTTTAAAATTAGAGCTTATACAGATAAATGAACTTAATTTTCAGAATCAGCATCCCAATTTACCTCTCAAGCTCTTTATCTCACTAACTTGCTCTTAAAAATAAACAACTAATCTTCTTATAAAGAACAATAAAGTGTATGAATATTTATAAATATTTATGAGCAATGAACAATAATTAAAACAATTTTTAATTTACCGAGAAAATTTTAGTTAGTGGGTAGTAACTGATTAACTGATCACGATTACCCATTACATATATAATTTCGCATTAATTAAAGCTTTTCAAAAGAATTTTCATGTACAGTTTTAAGAGGCGTTACGTTTTGCTGTAATTATGCTACATGTAGCGATAGGTTCTGGGCACGTCGAAAGTATTATCGCGATAATTTTGTAAACTGAACGAATAATTACGGTATTACTATAGAATGCATAGCTTGGTAATAATGCAAGTATACAAGTGTTGATAAAATGATATGAAATAAATTCAGTGGACAATATGTTGTTTAATCGAGCGAATAGTGCGAAGAGTCAACTTCTGAAATAAAGTGAAAAACGATAAAGAATATCATCTGGTTGATTCATTGTTTCCGCACAATACGGGTGCTGCGAAAAATTGTTATCGTATTGCTGGCAATTCACAAAAAGTCATATGTTTCTATTAATTTATTGAGGTCATGAGGAAATCGTTACATGGTTTAAAAAATATTTTTTCTCAAAGAATATAGGCAGACGTTGGTTTCGTGTAGATGATATAAAGTTTCGTTAGTTCAATATGGTGCTGAATGATTTTCAATCCTGGACTTGGGCCAAGACTATTCCTGGTCGGTTTATTTGAAATAAAGGATACCCTATTGGAAATTTACTTCAAGTATAATCGGATTTATACTCATTCTCACACGTGGGAAAAACCATATCTATGTGTCGATCGAGTAATATCCTTCGTATTGCTATCATTATAATCACAGTTCGTTTTTTATTATTTTGAAAATCGATACAGTATTGATTATATTTTTTATTTATTGGTTTTGTATCAATTAAATAATTGATTAATAATGTATTTGATTCAGAATTGAAATGGCAAATGAAAACTCGTAAATGTATCACCAGTTAAAAATATTGTAGTTATTTTCCAATCCGATTTAAAAGTTAATCTCATTTAAATTTCTAGAATAGCTATTTTACTACAATGGATCTTTGAAAGTGCCGGTGTATATCGGAAATTGACTCAAAGAGAAATCGAATTTTTACTGATCGTCCCAGGTGGCAAAGATGACTCTTCTATAGCGATTCGATCGTATTAGAGTCATTATTTTAGTTACTATGACTTAATTATTACGATTAAATAATAAAATTATAAAAATGAATCAAATGAAAAATTCATTCTACTTTAAAAGACCATTTTATTATAATGAAGTACTGAAAAAATAAAAGGAGGTTAAAATTATTCTTTTAAAGTAATGAATATCAAATTTCCTTAAATAAAAATTATTTAATACGGATTTAAAAAAAATTTAATTAACTTTAATTTATCATTTTATCTTTTGCAATTATATATGTTTAACAAAGGCAAACAAAGATGCAAGAAAAATAAATTGGATTTCATTCGACGTTTTTTTCACAAATATTATGCTTTTATTAAACTGTTTTTTTGCGAATTGGTTCTCCAATTTTCAATTAAAACTGGTGCTTCAGTATAAATCGTATAATTTTTTTTTCATTTATATTGATTGATCCACTTTGTGCTCTAATACATGAAACCAAGATCTTTGGAACGAATAAATTGCAAAAAGCGATTGACTTGAAACTGATTTTTATCCAACTACTGGAGAGATAATTATGAAGGTAATAAATATGATCGGATATTATAAAATAGTTAACAACAGAAACGAACTATCGGATATATATAATTACACGGAATAGTAATATTTTATAATTGTTTCCACCAAGTTCATTTAAATCTTTCATCAGGAATAGTTATTTTACTAATGAACCTTTAGGCAATAACAATTTAAATATAGTTATTTAGTGAGGTTCGAAACTTTGGTGAAAGCCAACTTGGAGAAGCAGACTGAACCTCTCTTTGTGTTTAACGACTCTTGTTAGACTATCCCCATACATGAGTTTCGTTCGTTCTCGGTTGAAAGGACTATTTGCAAACTTTTTGCTATTACTAGCGGAATCTGTTTAGCTCAGATAGTTGCGCTGGGTCCTTAAGGTTCGTATTGAATACTTATATATAATCTGTCATGTATTTTCAACGGTTAGCTTTCAAAGAGGAGCTTTACAGTTCAGACACATACTGCAAAACAACTTTGGAGTCGCCAAACAACTTGATGCGCTTCTATCAACAGTTTACTATACATGCTGCCGAGGATGCATAAATTCTATTTCAATAGCTTCTTGTTTAGTTGATGTATCACATAATATGTCTGTATCGGTTTACGAAATTCACGTACATCATGTCAATCTCATGATATTAAACGTATTTTATATGAAGCGTATTTAGATGGTAAAATTTTTATATATTTTGACATATTTCAACGTCTAATGTCGAGAAGTATTGATTTATTATTTTTCACCAATATGCACAATATACATGCAAAAATGGAACATGCTTTTTGCTTTTATACGTCATCATGTAAGAGTTTCCATCTACTTCAATATTTTGTATTGGAAAGGTTTCGGGAAAAAATAAATTTGACGTAATAATCGAAATTTTTCCGATATTTTATTATACAATACGCGAATTACTTTTAATCAAAAAATCTTGAAGACTTATTTTCTTATATTCACACTCCCTACACTCTAGGGTTTTATGTATGGCGAATAAATTTTTATTAAAAATCGAAAGTCATTAGCAGCTATAAAAAAATTCAATTTTTCGTTATTAATTTTTTTTTTCCTAGCTGTAGTAAATATTTATAATTTCGTTTTTTTTTTCTAAATAAATTTTAATCAAGTAAATTCTTAAAACATTTTTTATCCAAAATTTTAGGTAATTACATCGATAAATAACAGTTATATATCGTTTGACAACAATTGAGTAATTTATTATGAGTTATAAATATGCATAGCTCAAATATCTATAGCTATAGTGATATGTTGAACAACGACAATGATAACAATGATATAATGATAGTTAGTGCGTCAGCTAAATCTACTTTATGACAAATTTTTTGTTGGCACAGCCATTATTCTTGACAGAATGCACGTGTGAACTATGTACATATATTTATAGTCCCTATTCATGATTCGCGAACATATGGGTGTATTCCAAGCCACCTTTCCCTAAGCTATCAATTTCTATTGGCAATATGGCTGAAAGATGATTATCCTCGAGAAGATGTCCTCTTCTCATGGACTGCAGACGAGGGTAAAGAGAGGATGTATAACCACTGTGACGACGTAGCATGTAATATATTATGGTTCATAGATTACGTTACCGTATCACCATTGCAAGTATTTTGCTTCTAGCCTTTGCGGATAGGGTCATATAGCAAGTGTTTGACTTACTACGCATATGTACCCATACATTTAGACTGTCCATTTAATGACAGTAATGACATAAATACATGTTTGTGGTTACACTATTGCTCGAGATTAAATTACAACGGTAAATGTGATGCATATGGATTTCTCATGTAATTTGATCCAGGTTAAATTCAAGAAAATCTAGGATTTGTGTTTCATTCCATAGATCAATGGACATAGAGATCAAAGTAAATATTTTATTTCATATATATGAGGATTTTTTTAATTTTAATTAAAACTATTGAATTTTCTAAGTTTAATTCATATCGTATTTTGAAAAATAAAATTCTTTTTTTTTTGGAGCAAAAAATTGATTTACCTTAAAGTAAGATTGTTTTTTTACATAAAAAGAAAATTACTGAAGAATGTAAATAAAATGAAAAAAAAATCATAATGAAAGTTTAAATGCATCAGGTTAATTTTTTTCAGTTTTAAAAACATTAAAAAAATAATTTAAGGATTGGAGCAGTTATATTAAGTTTAACTTAAAGTTTACGGTGTTTATTAAAAGCTTTAAAGCTCATGAAAAAAATTTCCATTTATATCAGACGGTTTATAACTTTTTGAAAAGCTTAATAGTAATTTCCACTAAACAAATCATTATTTTTATTATATAAAAAGAGTAGCATAAAGATAAGATGATATTTTATGGTGCAAAAAAAAATGCAACATTCTTTCATAGTTATAAAAATCAGTTTCAAAATTGACTTCAACTTTATGAATACCAGAGTTTTATCAATATTTTAAAATCACTAGAATCCATAAAAAGTTTTAAAGAATTCACGAAAATCATGGTTCAGAATCGAATGAATATTTGACAAAAGCTTCTACGTTTTATTCCTTGTCAACAAATTCTACCCTGAATGTACATAATAAAACGACGTCCGATGGGAGGTTTAAAAAAATAATGGCATTCTTATAACCTGTGCAGTGATAAAAGAATTATACTAACATTAAAATGTCATAGTCATGCATTAGGAAGTATAATATATCAAATCTCGCATTAAATGGACTTAACAACGTCACTAAAAAAATAGGAAATAAAAAGCCTAAATGATTGTTTACCCAAAGACATAGTTCAGAAGACCTAATTTTAGATTGCAATATATCACGATATAAAATCCAATTTATTTTGATGTTTGCTCCTTTCTTTTTGAACAATATGACGCGATGGAAGTTTTCGGAATGAGTTATAGATCGATTTATTGATTTATTCTGGCAACACAAACGATCTCTTTTTTCATTGTTATACAATTTTGCATTGGCAGGCAAGAGAAATATTGAGGGCAACTCTTGCCTCCGCGCCTTTGTGCACGTGAGTTTTCAGAGTGAAACGATAAAATAGACTTATTGCCATTCTGGAATCGTCGGCAAGGGAATGCACAATGTTAGTTTCTGCTACTTCTCCTTCCTAGCCCATGGGAAAATCGTTCCAGCATGTAACTGCTCTTGATTGGAAAGAAGAACATCAAGAGGAAACCTCTCTAATAGAACCATTGGAAGCATGGTTACTAGAATTAGTTACGTCTCAGACATCTCCAATCGGGTCTTATTTGGAGCGGTGAATTCTAGGTGAAAACGAACTACTTTATTTCCGATCGTGATACTCTTGAACGAGTCTATAATATCCTATTAATTGGCTCTATAAGTGTTTCTTACGAATGATTTTTTATTTTTGTTTGTTTTATTGTCTTTCGTAAATGTAAAATAAAATTTTATTCTACAATGATGTGGCAAGAGAAAACATTAAGGTGAAAGAAAGTGAGAAAGGTTCTCTAGCAAGTTTCTAACTCGATATGCTCACAGTGGATAGAGTGAAGTACATCAAAAGGTTCTTTTAGTGCACGACTTGCGAAGGAGACTTTCATTTTACAGCATGAAAAAAAAGCATCTAAAGAAAAACGGAAAATGTTCTCGACTTTATCTGATTTTTTTCTGTTATTTTATGGAGGAATTGCTCATGTTTTTCAGCTGATTTCTTTATTTTACAGAACCAATTACTGAGATCGTAGGAGGATCCGACCTATTTATCAATAAAGGCAGTACAATTAATCTCACATGTCTTGTCAAACATGCACCTGAGCCACCCTCAGCCATCATTTGGAGCCACAATCATGAAGTGAGTTTTTGTTTATTATATCAAATGATTATATAAAGGGATTTAATTTTTAATATCAAATAAGCAATGTATTTTCATGCTTTAATTACGGTATTAGACCCAAATCTTATAAAACTATAGCTCCAGCTATCACAGACGATTCTTCATGCTTAGAGAAGTTAGGAATTTATGATACTTACTAACAAGCTCGCAATTGGCCGCTAGGGATTTTCATTTTACTTGCAATAAAAGTTGAGAATCGAAAAAATTTTTTTTTTTTTAATAAACGACCTTTAAGTTTTTTTTAAAAAAAATATAAATTAAATGAAATTTATGGAACAATTAGATTAGTTATATTATTTATGGATTACATAAATATTTATTCGTGAGTTCTGATTCTCTCTAGAATAGAGAAAAGAAGTGCTTTCTTGTAGAAGTTAAAAAATCTTTAATTTTAATTTTTTTTGTTTTTTCTTTTTAAAGAAAATTATTTTCAGTTAAGAAATAGTGAGAAACTTAATTCATTTCAAAAGTTTTTAATAATTTTTTATTAATATTTGTAGAAACTCGATTGATTACAAATAAAATAAATTTTAAAAAGAATGATGAAGATGTCGTTTTTAAAATGATTATAACTGAAATAAAAAATCAAAGTAGATTGTAAGAAATTTAAGTAAAGAGAAAAAAAAAATTTATCCGATGAGATTTTGAATTGGAATAAGCGTCTTCAATTAAAAGAAATATTAATAATTTATACAATTCCTAAAAAAAAAAACCTATTCCTCATGGAGTATTATTTCTAACGAGAATTGGTAGTGAAATGATTAAATTAAGTTAAACGTGTAATACTAAAATAAAAGAAAATATCATAGCAAAGTTTGCAATCTCTTCTTCTCGAGTAAGCAGCCAACTACGTGTCAGCAAAGTCTGTGAACTACCATTACTCTAATACAGAAAGAAATTATCTTTTTCTATTTCTTCTAGGCGATTAACTTCGATTCACCTCGGGGAGGTATTAGTCTGGTTACGGAAAAGGGTAGTGTGACATCAAGTCGTTTGTTGATTCAAAAAGCCATCCAAGAAGATTCGGGTATTTATACTTGTGCTCCAACTAACGCAGAACCTCTAAGCATTCGTGTTCATATTCTGAATGGTACACAATAAACTTTTCAAATAAAAATAATTGCTTTCCAATATTCCAACACATTTATTCCTCGTATGATCACGCGGTATTTGTTTCAGAAGAACACCCAGCAGCAATGCATCATGGCTGTGGAACAAAATTCGCTGCAACTTTACAGGTACTGGTTAGTTTTTTTCTACTCATAGTTTAAACTGCAATGCATCCAAGTCCATAACAATGTATGTGCAAAGAGTTCGAAAAGTGTCATGAACTGTAAACTTAGAAGATTGGATTACTCCGAAAAATACCGTGGATCATTGGAAATCGGTACTACAAAACGACTGGATTGCTGACGACCTGGAAACAACCAAATGTGCTATAAAAAGAATCCACAATGGTACCTATGTACAATAACAAGTTGCTGAGATAAATGTAAAACTTTTTTACGTGACTCAAGTACGAATGTGTTTATTTATAAGATTAATACACGACTGTCAAAAAAAATTATCTATGTGTTTATAAATAAATATGGTAAGTAGGAAGTAATTAAATAAATAAAAAATGTAAATAATAAAGAGATTTTACACATATCATTTTTTAAAAAATATTTTACAGTTATAATATGCTTTTTTGATACATCAATTTTTTTTCTATTAATTTTTCGGTGTCTGTAATGAAGACTTTGAATCGATGAATTAATCAGTCATGTGGAAGAGGGACCAGCATTAGATATTGATTAAATTTTTTATTTCTTATCAACGATACCATGATTTTAGGTGTTAATTATTAGCAGTATATTAAAAAAAAAAAGTTCATTAAAAATATTTACATGTACCTTGACATTTTATGAATGTTTCTGAATTATTAAAGAATTGAAGGATTAAAAAATATTTCATATATTTCAATGAAATTAATGTAAGATTTGAAATGAAATTGTCAACACGATATTATTAACAATGTTACCCAAGCAATTATATTAATTAAATATCTAAATAATGAATATAAATTAAAATCAAAAAACTAAAACTGCGATTCGATTAATTGAAGAAATTAATTAATTTTCGAATTATGAGAGCGAATAATTGAAGGATCATACAACAATGATGGTAAAATTGGCGAAAAAGCTCGTCAAGTAGGAACTTTGTTTTAGAAGAAAAAAAATAAATAGAGAAGAGAAGGTAGAGAATCTTTGAAAAAATATAGTGTCTGGAACAGATTTAGTTATAGTGTCTATGTGGTGTACCAAATGGACTACTTTTTTCATTAAGTAATACCGAGAGAGGGAAAGCAAAAAAAAAAACTAATTCAATTGTTTTATAAAAGCATGAGAATGAGTACAACATGGTGTCTTCAAGTAGTGAGATCCATTTTATTTTTAGGGCAAATAAAAGGCACTTTAGTTATCACCATTTGTAAGTACATTGACAAAAAAGATAAATCCAGCTTTAGATTTAAAATCCTATTATTTTTAGAGCTTTTATTTTATTTTTATATTATTTTTCTATCGTAATATAATGAAAAAGAGGGTAATATACTTTTTACGAAAGAAGAAAAATTAAATAACTTATTTACATTGATCGAAAATTTATCTGTTAGTAAATATATATGCCACTATTTATTTCTTCACTTGCTATTTCCATGAGATTTCAATAAGATTTACGTGTATCACGATAAGAAAAGTCGCTTGGATGTTGCTGATAAACGAGTCGATCGTTTTTCAGGAACAACCAGACAGAAACAATTTCGACTTCTAAGTCCTATTCTATCGATTTCGTTTTTGTTAGGGAAATAGTTTGCAAAAAAATACGGAAACCAAGCGTATATAAAATCACAGCTGGTAACTTTGTGTTTGTTACATGGTAACCTTAGAAGGTGGAAAAAGCCACAGGAGAAAGAGATTAGTGGTAAATGCTGAGCTAATTTTCTCTTGTGGGAGTACTAAGGGTAACGACAACTATCACTCTTGATTCGCAATCATCAGCACCACATGGCAATGATGTATTCTCCTCACGTTAGCTTACGTTACAAACCTTTGGGATGTCTTTGACACTCATAATTGAACAAATTAGTAAAGTTTCTGTCATTTGTCAGATAAATTAATTTCCAAACTTTCCCTATTCAAAATAAATACGAAAGTCTTTAATTCTTTTATCAACTTGTGATTGTTTTATTTACATTCTATTGAAAATATTTGTTTTAAATTGAATTTTAGACCAAGTGTGATATTAGTTGTGAGTTTTAATTTAAAGATAAAAATTTATTAATCAAAATTTAATTACTTGGATACCAGAAAAATAATTAGATTTATTAATGAAATTTTACCGAGACATTTGCTAAAATTTAATGTAATATAATCTAAGTAAAATAAATGGAAGATACTGTCTTATCTTAAATGCAGAATTTAAAGAAAATTAACTCACAGCTGTCCCAGCTTCCTTATTTCAACGCATTTGTAAGTACTGAAATCTATTTTACTCAGTGTAAGCGTCTTCTTCTCCTTTGCTTTCAGTAAAATTTCAAATCTAGAAATTTTTCACCTCTTCTGGATTCAACCATGTTTTCTTTGAACACCTCGTTTTGTATGATGGCTTCCCATTAACTAGGTTTCAAGAAGGATCAGTTGGGACTAGTACTATTGACCCAAGGTAACTTTGATATTTTATTGGGAAAATTTTTTCTATTGAATTTTCTCGTTTAACCAATCGCCAAGAATCTCTGCTTTTCCAAATCCTAAGTAAATAATTTTAAAAAGTAGTATTACAAGAAATAATATAAAATTATTTGCCGTTGAGTCGAGTTTTGTATTCTTAAATAATGAAATAAATTAATGGAGCAGAGTATAAATTATTAATTTGAAAAACTTACATTTCATCAGAGTAAAAAGTTAAGAATTAATCCAAAGTTTAATGGATTTATAGCTTTATTTGCTGAACGTATAAATGTATAAATCAAAAGTGTGTACTTAACAATGAGTATTAATCCAGTACAAAATGGAACTATTTACAGCTAATGATTAATTATAAGTACTTTGGAAGAGTTATCAAAAAGTCCTGTATCAACATGTAATTCCTACTATTGGAGAACATCTATTTACTCGGAGAATATTTAGGAAACACATTAGGCATGTGTCATAGTTGCGTAAATAATTCATGCTTTTACAAATGTGGTTTATTTTTAGATCATCGAAGCTTGAATTTTCGAGAATATATAAATATGTATATCTGATGCAGAGATTCGTTCTTTGATATAGTTTGTATACGTACAGCTGAATATCCATTTAGTTTCTTCTCGTAGCATTTCAAAGTATCTCATTGGTGAGATTTTGCTAGCAGAAGCAATCTGATAAATGGTACTGCGGCAGCTGGCTTGAAGCTGCAACCGACTCAACCAAACGTGCAATTTCGAATCGCAAGAGATTTATCGTGACGCTACCTAGACATGGAAATGCACAAATACCTATGAACAAAAAGTTCATTCATTTGTTTGCATATTTGTTTGTAAGTATGAATGCAATAGTAACTACATAGTTTTGAAAGTTGTTAGAGTGTCAAAATAAAATCGATTGCAAACCATGGTGAAATTAGGGAAGCCACAGACATGCAATTATCGGGAGGTTTCAGGTCGTTATATCGATTATAGTTAGTCGAATAATCAGCCATGTTCGACTGGTAATTGCAAGTGCTGTTATACAGTTTGTAATTACAAAATCCAATTTGAAACTTTATAAAATTATTTCATGATAAATATTATTTCCCGCAAAAACTATTATCCTATGTAATATTCAGTGTAAGATTGGATAATGAGTTTATTTTGCAAATCAATGTTACTTTGTGAGTCTGAAGAGATAGACATCACATCTTCGACAACTCTCCATTGTGAACACAAGTGGGAACACGTTTTTCTTCGAAGAGTCTGGAAGAAATGCGCCCTCGAGAATCCGAAGCACGTTGATAAGAGTAGATCAATGAATTGTGGAAAAAGGTAAGATCAAACTGAGAATTCTGAAGTAGATGTCAAATTTAGATGACATTTAAATAGATTCGGTTGAATATTTTCAAATATATACTGTATATTTACTGAAAATTATGAAAATATTGTTACATAAGATAAAAGTTATCACTTATTTAAATAATTTCATCTGATGGAAGCATCATGGTGATAATTTAATTAATTAAATAGTCACCTGTATTTCAGAAGAAAGATATTAAAAAAAGATTTGTCATCGATCTATTATTCGATTCCTATCAGCAGGAGTAAATATGTATGAAGTAAGCAAAAAAAGGAATAGACCTGCTGGAAATAACTTTATGAAATTCAAGCGATTGTGAACAAAACTTACCAGGCGAAAAATTCAATTTTATTAAATAGACATCTAGACGAGAACTCTCATATCATCATCGCATGTCTGACTCTTGTGAACGTTTCATACTGACGAGGGTGCGGTAAAACATTAGAAAAGTATGGGATCGCGACTAGTGAAGGGTTCTAAATTAAACTTCTAACAGAATATATTAAAAGTTTTAAAAGTCAAACACGTGATCCATTTTATTTATAAAATGCTTGCATTATTCCATTTTATTAAACATGGAATTTTATTTAGGGACTTCCCGCATCGAAAATTCATCTTTTTTGTTCAATAATTGAATTTCGTTGAGATTTCAAAAGGGATTAATGTAATCAAGTTTCTGGTAATTAAATAATTCAATCAAATATTGGAATACAAGAAAGTATTCTGAATAATCAATCAAGAAAGTTGAATAGAAATAAAAAATATAAAAGTGTTTTTACAGTTAAAAGAATAAAAAATCGATAGAATTGTTATTCAATAAATGAATCAGAATTTTATTTTAAAAAATATTAGGGGCTTCGAAAAAAACTATTTCAGTCTTTGTCCATCGTGGATAATCTTTCAAAATAACAAAGTTGTATGAAAAACAAAATTTTTGAAAAAAAAAAAAGAAAAATTTTGACTCAGCTTTTAATCAGCAAACTTCTTATTGTTGAATTTTCCCATCGAAAGTATGAATAAGCTAGAATTTCGCATTAATTTACGGTTACTTTATTGAATGAAGTTTCCTTAGCACCAAGTAATTACTTAAGTGCTAATTAAAGTCAAAGTTTTCTTCTCAATTCTCTTCTTTCTCTTATTTGTTATAGCACTAGCATTAACAAGCATCGCAATTCAAGCTAAAACGGGATGAAAGACGAGATAAATTGTGTGGAATAATCAGGGAACGATCCGTCATCATCAGGTTGACCTGACTTAGAACTTGACTATAGAGAACGTGCGCGATATGCTAGTGTGGTTTAATGTGAAACTCAACCCTCTTAGAAACTCTTATCAACCTCTCCCCCTTTTTGTAACGCTAGATAAGACTTAACGGGTTAGTAATATCATGGTTACTTTGAAGCTCGCTGAAATATTTTATTTAGTAATGTTAGACATTTTGTCGCGACTTTTATAAAATTATAATATGACATAAAACATTTCTTGACGTAATTCGCGTGACGATTGTACTTTACTTATTTTTTTCCA